TAACAGGTCAGGTAGCCAGGTCTCAGTGGCTAACAGGTCAGGTAGCCAGGTCTCAGTGGCTAACAGGTCAGCTAGCTTGGTGTCAGTGCTTTTATTTTAAGTCTCCATGTATCTTTATATTAATCATATTTCTGTCTGCATTGATTTAGGAAATGCTTTGTATCTGAATGGTAATTGATCGATGTCCTTTGCCTTATGTCCATATTAACAGATGGAAACTAGGAACTCTGATGTATTTTCTTATATATAAAAATAAGATGTGCTTATAAGGAGGCTGAGAGAACACAGGTGTGTTTAAGTCTAAATGATCAGTGTCTCCTGCTGTAGGCGTTTTTTACTAGAAATAAGCATCGGTTATTCTGTAGATTAATCAGGAAAGCTTTGAAATGTGCTGGAATCAGCTCACAGAGAACTTTGCCTTTTAATTCAATTATACAAAAATGTTTTATTAATCTTACAAAGAAACTAATAAATATCATTTATACAATATGAATTATCTTCTGAATGTCATACATAGTATATTGGGACCGAGATGTTTGCTGTACTTATTACGCCTGCAGTGGTAGAATCGATGGCGTCCATGTTTTTCTGTGCTGGGTTCCTCTCTGTGTTTGTAGAGGTCAGCTCATACCGTCATCATGAATGGGTTTGATTTTTCTGATTTCTGGCTCCCCGGTGCGGCCGGTTAGTTCAGACGTGCTCCAGACACGGCGTGTAGATCTCCCACTGACTGCGCTGATGTCTGCTGTCAGCGCGTCGGGAACCAGGCAGGATGTGTGCTTCATCCATCCCCTGACAGGATATCGGTTTCTCATCAATCAGTCAAATTAAATTATTTAATTAAATTAATTAAATGAGCAGTTAGATCTTTTTTTAAATGCGGCACCGTCTAGTTTGATTGATTTTAAGATGAAACATGCACAGGTTGTGTTTTATAAACCGACAAATCTGATTCATTCAGATATTAAATGGTTAAAAAAATACAATTCTAAAAATCAGAAGCTTTTAATGACAAATAAACAAGATGTTTTTATTTTATTTTATCTAAAATAGTAGATGGACTGAAGGTGCATCTACGCTTATGGCGTCTGCAGAGAAGCTGCAGGGTTTGGATCCTTCAGTTCTGACTCATCTGCTCATTTTGGTACCAACCTGGATGGATGGATGGATGGATGGATGGATGGATGGATGGATGGATGGATGGATGGATGGATGGATGGATGGATGGAGTGTGTAGAAAGTATCAGACCTGCAGTTGGGGAAACCTCCATCCCTTCTAACAGGACGTTACTGGAACAGTTTGACTGGGACCAGTTAGGAACTGGCCCCTCTGTGCCAGTCTGCTCCGATGGTTCTGGTAGTCTTCCTGTGTTTCCCAGTGAGGCAGCTGTGGTTCAGGGATGAAGAGGGTTGGTCTGTCAGTCATCTTCATCATCAGCTCGCTGAGTCCCTCTGCTGGTTGGACCCGTTCCCTTCAGGAATAACCCTGAGATCCCGTTGGGTTACAGAGAGGACGGAGGACAACAGAACTTCTGCTGGCATGTTGGAGCACGGTGCTAAGAGTCCAGGAAAAGATGCTGAGACTAAAAATAAGATCAGCAAAACTGCAGCATCGGTGGAAGGAAAGAGAAAACTGTGAATCTGATGACAGCCTGCTTTGTCCCAGAGATACGTTCTACTCACAGCACTCTGCGGTAGTTTCTCTGCTTGGTTTTATTAGGCTTTATGGCAGAATTGGTTTCTGTGGTTAAATGATTTAATGATGTCTCAAACATCTGGCCTGCGTTTGTGTTTAGCTCCTTAGCTATGAGGCCACTTTCCAACCATTTACAACCTCCCTTCATAACATCCAACATCCATCAGGTTCAGGCTAGAAATACATCAAAGGTGAGAAACAGGAAGGAAGACAGAGTGGCAGCTACATAAAGACAGTACAGCTTAGTGTTCGGTCCACACCGGGCCGGTTTACAGGGAAAGGTTCAGATTCACCATGAAGTCCTGATCAGGGTGAAGAACAGAGAGAGGAGGATGGAGACGCCCAGTCTGAGCCCATAGTGTGAGACACTCAGCATCTGCTAATGCATTTCTCTGTCTGACACTAACAGTGTGAGGGACTGTCACTGTCACATTCACCACAACAGAGACACTTTTAAATATGCATGTGCAGGCCTTCAGAGGCGCTGCTGAAAGGCTTCCACCAGCCATGCGGGGATCCGCCGCCCTGCAAAGTGTGAAGTGTGTTTCTGTGCCATCAGTGGCTGTCAGCGTGTGAGGTTGCAGTGAATGAGGAATCAAGATGGCACGCCGACATCACGCGGCGGTCCAGGTGGACTTCGCCACAGCCGCCTGTCCCCAAATTATCGCCTCCTTCTTTCCCTGCAGCCATCACTCCACTCTGCCTCTAGAAAATGAATCCATGCCTTAATGGATGACAGGCCAGGGATGGGCGGCATGTCCCCCGAACCCTCCAGGCTCCTCCTAAACCTGCTGACAAAAACATCAAGGATGAACCGAAATCTATTCAAACAGTTTCAATGAATAAAGAGGAATGGTTCCTGTCAGGACTGGGAGTCCAGTTTAACAGGAACGATTAACAGGATGGAGAAACTGTCTGTGTGCAATGGGTGGCTAATGAGGACGAGGCTGGATGAGGACAAAAGCAATTGCATTGTCTTATTTTAAGTGCATATTATCTAATTATTTTGTTTTAAGAGTAGAAATGTTGTTTCCATCCAGAAATCAACTTAATTACCTGCTCACCTAAATGCTAAATAAACTTAATGGAAGACATTCTTACTTATTTCTAGATGTTTTTTGCAGGGAATAGCCAGGAAATATTAGTTCCAAATAAAAATAATCCATCCGTCCATCGTCCAATTCAATTCTATTCAGTTTATTTCTATAGCGCCAATTCACACCTTTCCAGTTCACCAGATCATCCAGTCAGATTGACTCTTCAGCAATCCCTTACACTAATCATGCTTGTAGCGACAGTGGAGAGG